TAGGCTCGAGTTACGCATGTGTTTAAGGTTCGATTATCATATAATCGTAAGCTTGCTTTCTGGATTTCACCAGCATTCCTTGCATTAGAAAGCGCGTGCACAATTGCTCAAAATTCGTTTGAAAATTGAACAATAATTTGAATACTCCACATCAAGTGAGAGATTGAATCCATCAGATGAATGGAGATAATAGCTGATGTAATCTCCGCTCTGCTTAGGTTATTAAGAACGAATCGATTGTCCTCCCAGGCAGGATATCCTGCGTTGACTGTGCAGGTGAATCGTCAAACTCACAGTGGGTGGAAATGCGCCAGTATTATTCACCTGAGCAGAGAGATCAAGTGACGTTCTCAATTGTTTTCCTGACAACTTTCATGTTGTGTATCCAGTATACATTTGCAGCAAAAACAGGATCGATCGTGAGCCGAGAACCATTGAATCATGTGTAACTGCCTGACTAGTGTCAAAACTTGCTACGCAGCTGGAGTGACCAGAAGGCACGCAAATATGGCGCGTGTACTGCTGGACAGTACAAAAACGGGCTGACGATATATTTTCCCGGACTACTCGTCGGTTTGTCTGAGGTCCTCTTAAGAATGTCAGGTAGTCTTCATTACATTAACCCACAGGGTTCACTGCGAAGGAATTCAATGCTGAACAATTTAATAATTTTCTGCCTTAATTGACGCCTTTCATCAAATGATATAGCATTCGTGGACGGATACTTAAAGAGTAAGCGAAAATCTTTCAATGCATGTTTTGAGATACTTCGCATCAATGAACATGAATATGTGACCTGTTGAAAGTCGACGTAAACATGCGTGTATATGTGTGATGCATATATTGACAGCGCTGATCATGTGTAAAAGTGTTCGATTCGGTAATCAACATGTCGTTTCAATATAATTTCGAGACGGATATCCGTTAAATAATTCCTCACGAAATATCAAGGATAAAATCACTAAACGCCATTATTTCCGGTCGACTTCGTGCAATCAGGGAATATTTCAACGAACGACGTTCGGGTTATCAATTTCAATCAGGGGAAGCAAAAGTGACGTCGTTGAATAAACTTCACTATATTTCATTTCACACTGTCTTATTGTATTGATTGATTCCGAAATGAAATGCTGTCATTGGAGAGTGTAGAATCGACCACGGATAGGTGTTCATCGTCAATGAATGAATGATTGAATGAACGAGTATAGGAATAGTGCACCATGATAGAAATTAGTAATATGTAAGGTACGTCAACCAAGTAGTGAGAAACGCTTGACGGCTACATGAAGTAGGAGGGAAATATCTCACCTGTGCTTGTTCGAATCTACTGTAACAGTGTGGTGTGTAGCGAACATTTATCAACCTCATTAAACAGCTCACTATGTGACAGGGATGCATATCAAGTGATCCATAGCGGAAAACTCAGTGAGGTGTCTGGAGTGAAGTTGGTTGATTTCTCACTGTCCTCTAACTGATGTCAGCTCGTGATCCGAACTGAAATACTAAATTGTCATTATTCACGATGATGGAATACAAAGTGTTCCACCCATGCATCTAGGAAATGTGAAATAATGGACTATTTCATGAATAGAGCGATCAGACTGTGAACGTATCTAGGACTACCGGACACCACATCCTATCCACACAGTAGATACTTTGACATTTATCACTTGACTTGACCTTATAAGACACAGTGGGATGACTGTTGTGGACTCTTCGAAGACAGTCGAGTATGGAGCAGTTCACCTCTTCCTTAATTTAATGAAAAAATAAATAAATAATTTTGTCTGTTTTTCCCGACTATTAGAATATGGACACGAAATATCGGCGATCGGGGGTGAGCATGCATTTCACATACGTGACAAATCACAATAATGGAGTTGTCGTTTTCACCAGATAGGAGTGTTCTCACAGCTGTTGAACTGGACAACCAGAAATGAATATTTCGTATCATCTATTGGTTCGGAAAACCTGACCAGGTTCACAGGCTTCCCTGCGATGAACCTTCCAACGCGCACTACGAATGGTGTTCATATTCACATGTTTACTTCATATTGGTAATTGTCGTCTAAGGCACGTTTACAAGCATGCATACTCCTAGTGGGAGCACACACGTCAGCGAAAACAACACATAACGCCTTTTTCTCCGATACCACTTATTTTCTCACACTCTGGCTGCTGCATTGTTCGCTCATCCCTCTGTAGATCGATTCAGACACCCTTCGCCTGAATGCATCACACGCATAAGTCAGGATGCCACTGCAACCTGTATGCAGCTGAATGGGATCTCGGAGATCTCGAGGATGAGACTAGGAGCTGGACGTTGAAAGAGATGACCTAAGGGTGCTTCCTTTGTAGAACACTGACAGTTGCGTGTTTTCGCTAAGCCTAGACCTAAAACACACTTGCGTGCTAACCAGGTCGCTAAGCATACCTCCTCACACCACCTAACCGAATGAATGACAGCCGTCTGCTCAAAATATTGACATCCTTGTCATCTGGGGGAAAGTTCATCTGATGATGCGTCAAAATTCGTCACAAACAGAGAGTACAGAATGCTTCGTTGATGTCAGTGGTGACGTGATTTGATCGATGCCTTGAAAATCCTCTTTTCTATGTAGTAGAAATTTTCACATCGATGAATCAAGTCTCTACCGTTAATATATCTCACCACTTATTACCTGCGATTTATTTCTGTACATGTAAGTATATTTGTGTGTTAATGATTGAATTTTGCAAACTATAGAAAAGCTGTATTCAAGACAACAACCGACTTGTAAGTTGACCTGCACTCCCTTCTGCCTAACAAATAAGCCTTTTTTTCAACCATCACACTCCCTGTAAATGTTCATGACGATCTGCTATCAACTTCAAGTTACATTCACCTGCCTATTCTCAGAGTCTGCTGCTGGTGGAAGAGATCAGATGTGACTATATGGTTGTCTGAGGAATCCTAAAATTACAAATATTTGAGCACTCTAAATGCTTACGCTTGAAAAGTCACAGTCATTAATGCCAACGTGGTTCGCGAACGTTTCTTCCGTATACTAGATTGTGTTGTTACTTCTTGAGAAGCACGATCGAAGTATGTGGGATGACGATGATCCAAATAATAATAATAACAGACGAAAGCCTTACAGGGTAAACTCAGTACACAGCGTCTGTGATTGCACTGCTATTTCCTCTCATCCGTCGCCCTTCTATATGAAGTATGGACTAGACGCATATGACAGATTGATTTCGCTTTCTCCAGGAGACGTTCGAGGTCAGCTCGTGAATCGATTCAAATGTGCGTGAGTACATTTGTATTCTCAGAAAAATATAATTGAAAAGCTACGATAATTTGAATCACAGAGTAGGTTTACTATCGTGATGGATTTCGATTCGGGTATGAGAATTACTCAATCTTGCCATCGAGGAGATCAGAGCAGACGTGACTAATGCACATGAATACTAAAACTGCATCACTTCGAGATTGGTATACTCGTCAGACACAAATCATTGCTTGCATACTTTGGATGAATATGGACAATTATCATGTGACTACAGGCATGCGGCCGCATGTAATTCTGTTGGTAATGGCGACACTTTCATGCTTCCTTCTAGATGGGTGGGTGAATATCAGTAGCGATCACGAAAGTAAGCGTATGGACTATTTTGAATATTGTGGACCTATTTGAGGGGGAGGAGCAGCAGCCTAGTGAATCTAATATGAAAAAAAAAATACGTAGATCGGCGAAGAGTCACTTTTCGGCGAATTCATCCACTCAGCCATAAAATCATGAATATATATATGTTGTTTTTTATTTATATATACATTAGGTATTTGTTTGACGAGCCTAATGTAAATATATATATATAAAATAACACATATAATTGTGATTGCACGGCTAAGAGAATCAATTTGCCGAAAAGAGACACATCGCAGATCTCATTAATTCCATTGCTTTATTGACTGGATGGAAAATATCCATGAACTGAAAACGATATAATAAGCAAGCGATCAACGAGATATACGTTTGAGAAATTCTAAGCGATAACTCAGTCAGAGGAGTAAACAAATTCCAATCACGGCTGAATCTGGAAACACAGTGAATTTGTACACCATCTGATGCTCATATGCCAGAGTCACCAGTGTTATTCATGACGATTTTGGAATGGCGTTCTCGGAATAATCGGAAACACATGACGTTTCCAACAGACAACTGAAGTAGAAACATTGATTCGGCACACTACCAGTAAAAAGGTGATGGAGACAGCTTTGACGTCAATCGACGAAATATGGTGGGTTCACATGCAAAACAGTGGAGCGATCACTATTGGATCGCCAAACTCGTCGATGATGGCTGACATATTCATGGATTTTAAGTAACGAAACGCACCTGAATCACAAATTACATCATCAACAAAATCTTGATGGAGATGTGTAGGTGACACATGAGTGATAGTGAGGAAGAATGATAATGAGAGAATCGAGTCACACATTACCAACAATAGTGCAGACTCAGCATGGGAACTCGTTGTGGAAATACAGGATTTATGTCACATGAGTGATTTGACAGCACGACTGTTGGCGACCCAGAGAATGTGATTCACAATACGCGAGAGCGAATGAATCAAAACTGATCTGTGCACACACACATGACTACAAATCACAAATGTGTGGTTTGAAAGGGAACAAATCAAACACTCACCTGCTGTGACCGCCAGAAGTAAGTGCGCGCATGACATAATAAAATATCAAACATACAAGACATTGTTTTATGTAGCTATCGCAATATAACTACAGTTAATTTGATCTGTCGCTCAATACGCAGATGGTTTACTAAAACGGCTGACTCGATCTGCGTGAGACCTACATGAGTCGAAGGCAAGAAGCCACTCTGAGGTGTCAAACACTTGTCCGCTCAGCATCTTCTGAGGAATAATATGCGAAATTTGTTTCAATATATTTCATACTGTATGTCCTACGCGACTAAACACAACAATTTCTTTTACAGAATTCTTATTTCTCCTGAGGGATTCATCACAAAGTAAGCTCATTTGAATTGTGACCACTTCAGTTAGTTGACTGAATTATCACTAGAAGTGGAATAAGCGAAACCAGCATCAATGTGTTCGTTCACTTGTTTATTACTAAAGTTTCTGTGCAGTCACTGATTATCGCGAATGCTTTATTATATCTATCACCATCAAGATATTATTCTTGATTCGCCTATCCACCAGTCAGTAGAGGGGAGTATTTCTTCATACCCGTTCCTGTCTTCGACAGCCGATTCAAGCGTAGTCGGAATGTGTTTGTGACCGTCTGACCACATTAACATGGAGTCGTGTGGCGGCCATCCATTCATGGAGGTAATCGTCAATTAATCCATACGCTGACCTCCACTCAGCCCATGTCACTCAAATGCAGATAAATTCATGAATGTTTGTAATCCAGATTTTAATGAGAATAAAAGACACGTGATTCAGTGAAGATCTTCTTTTCTCTGGCGACTTCATTCACTCAGCTGTACAGTCGCATTCTATCTAATTATTGCTGGGCGCGTGTGTGCTTACATCAGGTTTGTCAGAGAAACAAGAGTGAACACTAGTCATGCTTATTGTTAATGCCATCAAACGCTTCAAACATGTGATGAGTAATGAAATTGTGACATGATGGATTGAAAGGTAGTAGTTGTGGGTTGTGAATGCACCAAGGAATTTGAATAACTGTGTCTGAGCTGCTCATTGAGGTGGACGATTTATTAGGTAACTTGTGACCAGGATGCACATGGAAACAAAGCAGAATATAGGGTTGTGTGTGAGTTCTATAGAAATACGAGAGTGACAGGGAGTCAGAATGACAAGCACACGAAACCCCAGGTCAATAGGACACAAGAGGTTTGTGACTGTGCTAGTAGGAGTGATTGGGCAATTTCCTCTTGTGTGCATAACTCTGGATTTTCCATGTGAATAGCTGATGCTTCCGCAATACATGGAAAACGAAGTCCCATTGTCTTCGTCAGTTTGTTCTTCACTCTGTAGATTACTATGGAGTAGGAGGCGTTTGTTTCGATGTAATGGGCAGGGGTGATGAGGTGTTCGATGATCACACTGCCTTCAGATCCACTACCGCATTTTCACAGCCACGCAGCATAGTGGTTCTCAACCCTCTTGCGACAGGATACACTTCGAGTGGTTAGGGCTAGGAGTAGTGTTGTCCACTCGTCCATTGACCTGTTAAGGCCTGAAGAGGAAGATCTCGCATATGCCCGCTTCTTTTCGTATTTTTCAGTTCGCCTGTCAATGTGAAGCTCAGTACACTGCTCGCTCGACGTCCATATTTTATACTCGCAACTAATCTCGAAATTCCTCTCCTTTACTTACAGGTGAATGGGCTGAGCTGAGGGAAATCATTTCTGAATGTGAGCGAATTAAGTTTGTTTCTCGAAGTTCCTATCAAGTTATCTTGTCGATTCCCTGTGGCGGGATATCTCGAATTAAGTGTTGAGCTAGTGAGGGTAATTGTATTTATTTCAGTGAAGAATTCGCCACAAACACAAATCAGTGAATGAGTCACCGGATGAATACCTCGATCACGAGATGGCTGTCTTCTCCTGACTTCGGATGTCTCTCAGTCCGATGCAACGACAGCAAGATCATCAACCACGCAAAAGTTCGTCCACGCCTCGTCCACAGTGCAGACACTTTGACCAGAATCCAACGACGTCTTGAATTCCGAAATTCTTCCTCAAGCATCTGAGACTGTCAGCAATCAATGGTTTGAAGGAGCGTGTAGGATTTTGATGACGCCATGAGTCACTCGTTTTGCGTGCGAAATCGATGTTGTTTGCAAGCGAAATTTAGGAGATAATCCGCATCGTGAATTTCACCACATGGTGACACACCATTCTTTCACATAACATCAGAAAATATCCAAAGACATGCCAATTTTCCAGATATGTTTTTTCTATGTTGCCTCCAATCAACACAATTATTTGAACGAATGTGTCTTTTTCTGATTCGTCTTCACAGTTATTCGAAAGAATAAGACGTATGTTGTGAAAGGTAAGCAGAAAACGACAGACTACATTGCCTCGTTGATTGAATGCTCACATCATATCCATTAAATAATCTGAATAAGGGATATTTCACGTGTGTAATGATGAGTAACACTCACCATCTTAATTTTCAAGGCAACCAATATATCAACATTTTAAGCCAAAAAGAGAAGACGAGAAATGTACACAGTGGAGTGCATTTGATTTGTGGCGCATGTTTCACTTCAATTGGACACTAACTACTGTCGTACATGTTATCCTTGGCGTTTCCTGCCGACTGAATTCCATCAGTCAAGTTTTTTATGTGTGCATTAACAAGCTAGGTGAATATCCATCACCGTGAACTCAGAGATTTTATTGTTAATCTTTTTGAGGCTACTGACATGAAGCTCCTCCTGACCCTGGATATCCTGCTCGTCGGCTCGCACTAGTCAGCAATACAATCCTACAGTGGGTCAATCACGAGTGTGAACAGATAGCTAGCTGTCCTGCATGATGACAACGTCTCTGACTGCAGAAGATATGAGATGCTTGATGATACGCCCTGCAGATACGCCTTGCTGACTGGCGATTGACAATAAGCAGAGAAGCTTGATGAGTCAGAGCTTCCTTCAGCCGATTATGTACAACTATTTAATACATGGAACACGTTATGGCAGAAAGCCAATTCTCATTTAGATTCGAATGAGTGAACAGCAGGAATGGTCAAGTGTTTTTTGATACATATGACGCACGTACACAGTTCCAATTTAACTGCACAAAAGCATTTAATAGAAATGACAGTCAGACGACACTAAGAGAGATTGATTTTCCCTTTATGGAATCAATGTGTATACAGTTTCGTATGTTCTTTTTCATTCGGATATGCAAAGACACGTCCATGAGTTACTTCAAATGCTCGACATCTCGGTTGACGCAACCATGAGGAATATTACTGAGGCAGAATGGTTTTTAAAGTATAAGTGATTTCGCAGTTTAAGTTGGTTCCTTCAATTCATGCTGACTGTTTCGATGTGGAGAGTCGTGTCTACGAGTTGAACCGATGCCATCTCTCGAAGGTTCGCTTTCTCTTACGTAAGACACTTTCAATTTCACACCAATCAGACGCGGTGTATGATACGGAATTGAATTACCTTGTCAAAATCCACGTGAATTCGTCGGTATTTGTCCCTGGAAATATCATTTTTTCCTTGCATACTATGTAACTTTTATATCACTGCTTTCAGTGACCTCTCACGAACAATCGACAACCGATCACTGATTGGCTTTGTTCTTTTCAGATGATCTGAGATCAGAAGAAAAGTTTGCGAAGGCAGGTTAGTACACGAGAAGTTTATCTACCACATGTGCTGCGTCAGTGCTCGTTATTATTACTCCCTGAACCTTCACCGTACAGCTACTCAATATGATGCGCTTGTCAAGCAAGTTACCAGTAGCCGACAGGCTACGCTGCTTATTGGCTATTCTGACTACTAGTGTGAGCAGATCTGATTTCGATGGAGAATATGTTCAAGCTAGCGATTCACTGACTGTCCTTGCCTACCTAGGATCTCAACTGGTCAATAGCCTCGAGTTACGCATGTGTTGAAAGTTAAAATTATATGGAGATTTGAGTCTGCAATCTGGACTTAACCAGCCTTCCGTGTCACAGTAACCACGCGCCCAATCGCTGAAAAATCGTTTGAAATGTGAAGATTCATTTGAATAATTGAATCCATCAGATGAATGGAGACAATGGTTGACGTAATCTCCGCCAAGCCTAAGTTACTAAGAACAAGTTGACTGTCTTCTTAGGCAGGATATCCTGCGTTGACTGTGCAGGTGAATCGTCAAGCTCATAGTGAGTGGAAATACGCCAGTATCATTCACCTGAGCAGAGAGATCAAGTGACGTTCTCAATTGTTTTCCTGACAACTTTCATGTTGTGTATCCGGTATTCATTTGCAGTGATTCGGTCAGCCACAGGGTCGATCGTGAACCGAGATTCATTGGACCATGTGTCACTGCCTGACTAGTGTCAAAACTTGCTACGCAGCTGGAGTGACCTGAAGTCGCACAGCAGTGATGTTTGTGTTTTCTTGAACAGTACGAAACCTGACTGACGATACATTTTCCCGGACTACTCGTCGGTTTGTCTGAGGCTCTCTTGAGAATGTCAGGAAGTCTTCACCCCACTAACCCTCACTGCGAAGAAATTCAATGCTGAACAATTTAATAATTTTATCCCTTAATTGTTGCTTTTCATCAACTGATATAGCATTCCTGGATGGATACTTAAAGAGTAAGCGAAAATCTTTCAATGCATGTTTTTAGATATCTTGCATCAATGAACATGAATCTGTTAACTTTTGAGAAGGCAACGTTTACATGCTTGTGTATGCGTGATTCATATCTTGGCAGCGCTGGCCATGTGTTTAACTGTTCGATTCCGTACTCAACACGTCGTCTAAATATAATTTCAGAACTGATAACCGGTCAATATTTCTCCAAGAAATATCAGCAAACATAATTATTGAACGCCATTATTTCTATGCAAATTGGCGCAATCAGGGAATATTTCAACTTACAATGTTTGGCCGATCATTTTCAGTCAGGGGAAGCAAAAGTGACGTCGTCGAATAAACTTCACTATATTTCATTTCACACTGTCTTATTGTATTGATTGATTCCGAAATGAAATGCTGTCATTGGAGAGTGTAGAATCGACCACGGATAGGTGTTCATCGTCAATGAATGAATGATTGAATGAACGAGTATAGGAATAGTGCACCATGATAGAAATTAGTAATATGTAAGGTACGTCAACCAAGTAGTGAGAAACGCTTGACGGCTACATGAAGTAGGAGGGAAATATCTCACCTGTGCTTGTTCGAATCTACTGTAACAGTGTGGTGTGTAGCGAACATTTATCAACCTCATTAAACAGCTCACTATGTGACAGGGATGCATATCAAGTGATCCATAGCGGAAAACTCAGTGAGGTGTCTGGAGTGAAGTTGGTTGATTTCTCACTGTCCTCTAACTGATGTCAGCTCGTGATCCGAACTGAAATACTAAATTGTCATTAGTCACGATGATGGAATACAAAGTGTTCCACCCATGCATCTAGGAAATGTGAAATAATGGACTATTTCATGAATAGAGCGATCAGACTGTGAACGTATCTAGGACTACCGGACACCACATCCTATCCACACAGTAGATACTTTGACATTTATCACTTGACTTGACCTTGTAAGACACAGTGGGATGACTGTTGTGAACTCTTCGAAGACAGTCGAGAATGGAGTCGTTCACCTCTTCCTTAATTTAATGAAAAAATAAATGATTAATTTTGTCTGTTTTTCCCGACTATTAGAATACGGACACGAATTATCGGCGATCGGGGTGAGCATGCATTTGATTTACTTCGATGAGAACTCCATTCACCTATTTGAATCAGAATGTTAACATCAACTGTAAATCATTTCCTAATATAAAGCGAACATATCCATGGAATTAGTAAAAATAAATGTGGTTCAAAATTCCATTCATCGCTGATTCTCTAAACCATTCTTTGGTTTTCAATGGTCTTTGTGAAATTCCATAATAAACAGACAGATTGAAGCCTTCACAAAATCGAAGTGACAACTCGTAGTCATGTTGTTGACTGGAGAATGCAGCAGACGATGTGTGTATGAATGCAGAGATTTGTTGAACCGGTAGGAAGACGCTGGAATATCCTGACTTCTCAGAGGACTTATGGCCAATGTGGCACTGACTCTACGCCTTACAAGTGTAAGTGATTAGTGATGAGAAGAAGCAGGAGAAATAGGACATTCGGTGAAGTCACAGGTGATGGGGGACAATAAACTACAAAGACAACCAACCCTGACGTGGACATATCCAGGAATTTGAAGGATTCCTTTCTGTTATTCATTACAACAGCATCGCTGCGACTGTTGGCAGCACGAACGAGTACGTCAAAGGTCGGATCGGAAAAGCCAGACAGATTTCAATTATTGGGAAATCGGTGTGGAAATCCACTGAACTCAGAATAGGGAACGCGAATCACATCTTCAACACTGATGTCAAATCAGCGCGCCGCTGTGTTTGAGAGACATAGCACTCGTGTCACCGGGAGAATTTTCAGATGACTCCGGTAATATATGAGAAGCTTCCTTGACTCCATACTGATTATCAGATTGAACTCTGCTCACAGAATTCACTCAGAATGACGTGCGCCATTTTGTGACAAATCACAATGGCGGAGCAGTTGTACTAACCAGATAGGAGTGCTTTTACAGCCATTGAATTGGACAACCAGAAATGAATATTTCATATCATCTATGGGTTCGGAAAACCTGACCAGGTTCACAGGCTTCCCTGCGATGAACCTTCCAACGCGCACTACGAATGGTGTTCATATTCACATGTTTACTTCATATTGGTAATTGTCGTCTAAGGCACGTTTACAAGCATGCATACTCCTAGTGGGAGCACACACGTCAACGAAAACAACACATAACGCCTTCTCCTCCGATACCACTTATTTTTTCACACTCTGGCTGCTGCATTGTTCGCTCATCCCTCTGTAGATCGATTCAGACACCCTTCGCCTGAATGCATCACACGCATAAGTCAGGATGCCACTGCAACCTGTATGCAGCTGAATGGGATCTCGGAGATCTCGAGGATGAGACTAGGAGCTGGACGTTGAAAGAGATGACCTAAGGGTGCTTCCTTTGTAGAACACTGACAGTTGCGTGTTTTCGCTAAGCCTAGACCTGGAACACGCTTGCGTGCGAACCAGGTCGCTAAGCATACCTCCTCACACCACCTAACCGAATGAATGACAGCCGTCTGCTCAAAATATTGAAATCCTTGTCATCTGGGGAAAGTTCATCTGATGATGCGTCAAAATTCGTCACAAACAGAGAGTACAGAATGCTTCGTTGATGTCAGTGGTGACGTGATTTGATCGATGCCTTGAAAATCCTCTTTTCTATGTAGTAGAAATTTTCACATCGATGAATCAAGTCTCTACCGTTAATATATCTCACCACTTATTACCTGCGATTTATTTCTGTACATGTAAGTATATTTGAGTATTTATTATTGAATATGCACAACACAGGAGAACCAAAGTCAAGACAACAACCGACTTGTAAGTTGACCTGCACTCCCTTCTGCCTAACAAATAAGCCTTTTTTCAACCGTCGCACCCCCTGTAAATGTTCATGATGATCTGCTCTCAACTTCAAGTTACATTCATCTGCCTATTCTCAGAGTCAGGGACTGGTGAGGAGATCAATTTTGACTTTTTGGGTGTTTTGAGCAATCTGCGACAAACGATGTGCTTATTTATTGTGACAGAATGAAATGTGAGATGCATCTACAATTTGACTCCTAAAATGTCACATTCGATGAGTGCAACGGAGATCGCGAACCTATTTTTCGTATGCAAATAGTTGATGTTCCGTCTTGAGTAGCACGATCGAAGCATGTGAGATCATGATCATAATAATAATGACAATAACAGCTGTCTTCCGGAATCAATCCCTGCGTGGTGTAGAGAACACACAGCGTGTATGATTTCACTTAAATTTCCCCTCATCCATCTTGCTTCCATACGGAGTATAGACTAATCTCGTATGATGCAATTCCTTCGACATCCTCGAGAAATCCTCGACCTCAGCTCACAACCCGTTTCAAATGTGTGTGAGTACATTTGTATTGTCTGGGAAATAAACAGTTGAATAGCTAAGATAACTTGAATCATACGGTAGGTTTTCGTTCGTGATGGATTTCAATTCGGGTATGAGAATTACTCATTCTCGCCACTGGGGAAGGCAGAGTGGATGCGCCAAATCCAAAAGATCCTCAAACTGCCCCTCTAAGAGATTGACTTACGCGTCAAACAGGACGAAAGATGAAGTCACGCAGCACTTCCATATACATATGGATGCATTCATGATCGTTTGATCTTTCAGACAATGCTTGTAATGTGATATGTCTGATTGCTTTGGATACACACATCCATGCGTACTGCTTATCCGGTTATTTCAGTTAAAATCACAATATCTGGGTGCTGAGGAACGCAGAGACAACTGAATCCAGATAGTCCTCACACAAACGCGTCACTGCTGTGTGAGCAACTTGCGAATCAAATACACAGATATACTTGATTGCACACACTGAATGCAATTTGAAATTTCACTTCACACAATTAGGCTTACTCTGTGACTACAGATATGCAGCCGCATGTATTTATGCTAGTAATGGTCCCACATTCTCACTTCTTTACAGATAGCTGGATGAAAATCAACGGCGATTACGAAAGTAAGCATAGACACTATTTTGAATATTGCGCGCCTAAGTGATAGAAATGAGCCTGACGAAACTGATGTAACAAGCTTGCAAATACATTAGATCAATGAAATATACGTTTGAGAAATTCTAAGCGATAACTCAGTCAGAGGAGTAAACAAATTCCAATCACGGCTGAATCTGGAAACACAGTGAATTTGTACACCATCTGATGCTCATATGCCAGAGTCACCAGTGTTATTCATGACGATTTTGGAATGGCGTTCTCGGAATAATCGGAAACACATGACGTTTCCAACAGACAACTGAAGTAGAAACATTGATTCGGCACACTACCAGTAAAAAGGTGATGGAGACAGCTTTGACGTCAATCGACGAAATATGGTGGGTTCACATGCAAAACAGTGGAGCGATCACTATTGGATCGCCAAACTCGTCGATGATGGCTGACATATTCATGGATTTTAAGTAACGAAACGCACCTGAATCACAAATTACATCATCAACAAAATCTTGATGGAGATGTGTAGGTGACACATGAGTGATAGTGAGGAAGAATGATAATGAGAGAATCGAGTCACACATTACCAACAATAGTGCAGACTCAGCATGGGAACTCGTTGTGGAAATACAGGATTTATGTCACATGAGTGATTTGACAGCACGACTGTTGGCGACCCAGAGAATGTGATTCACAATACGCGAGAGCGAATGAATCAAAACTGATCTGTGCACACACACATGACTACAAATCACAAATGTGTGGTTTGAAAGGGAACAAATCAAACACTCACCTGCTGTGACCGCCAGAAGTAAGTGCGCGCATGACATAATAAAATATCAAACATACAAGACATTGTTTTATGTAGCTATCGCAATATAACTACAGTTAATTTGATCTGTCGCTCAATACGCAGATGGTTTACTAAAACGGCTGACTCGATCTGCGTGAGACCTACATGAGTCGAAGGC